TAGTAGTAGTAGTAGTAGTACTAGTAGTAGTACTAGTAGTAGTACTAGTAGTAGTTCTAGTAGTAGTACTAGTAGTAGTACTAGTAGTAGTACTAGTAGTAGTACTAGTAGTAGTAGTACTAGTAGTAGTAGTAGTACTAGTATCGTAGTAGTAGTAGTAGTAGTACTAGTAGTAGTATAGTAGTAGTAGTAATAGTAGTACTGTAGTAGTAGTAGTACTAGTAGTAGTAAATAGTAGTACTAGTTAGTAGTAGTAGTACTACTAGTAGTAGTGGAAGTTGTAGTACTAGTAGTACTAGTAGTAGTAGTAGTAGTATTAGTAGTATATAGTAGTAGTAGTAGTACTAGTAGTTAGTAACTAGTAGTAGTAGTAGTACTAGTAGTAGTATAGTAGTAGTACTAGTAGTAGTACTAAATAGTAGTACTAGTAGTAGTTTGTATAGTAGTACTAGTAGTAGTAGTAGTAGTACTGTAGTAGTAGTGTAGTAGTGAGTAGTTGAGGTAGTAGTAGTAGTAGTAGTAGTATAGAAAATTAGTAGTAGTAGTATAGTAGTAGTACTAGTTTGTAGTACTAGTTAGTAGTTACTAGTAGTAGTACTAGTAGTATAGTAGTACTAGTAGTAGTAGTAGTAGTACTGTAGTAGTAGTAGTAGTACTGTAGTAGTAGTAGTAGTACTAGTAGTAGTTTGTAGTATACTAGTAGTAGTGTAGTTAGATAGTAGTAGTACTAGTAGTAGTAGTAGTAGTACTAGTAGTAGTTACTAGTAGTAGTATAGTAGTAGTACTAGTAGTATCTAGTAGTAGTAGTAGTAGTACTAGTAGTACTAGTAGTAGTACTAGTAGTAGTACTAGTAGTAGTACTAGTAGTAATAGCAGTAGTAGTAGTAGTAGTACTAGTTGTAGTAGTAGTAGTATAGTAGTAGTAGTAGTTTGTACTAGTAGTAGTAGTTGTAGTACTAAATAGTAGTACTAGTAGTAGTACTAGTAGTAGTACTAGTAGTAGTACTAGTAGTAGTACTAGTAGTAGTACTAGTAGTAGTGTAGTACTATAGAGTAGTAGTAAATACTAGTAGTAGTAGTAGTAGTACTAGTAGTAGTAAGTAGTACTAGTAGTTAGTACTAGTAGTAGTATAGTGTAGTACTAGTAGTAGTACTAGTTTGAACTAGTAGTATGTAGTAGTAGTATAGTTAGTAGTAGTAGTAGTAGTTCTAGTTTTAGTAGTAGTAGTAGTATACTAGTAGTAGTAGTAGTGTAGTATAGTAGTAGTAGAGTAGTAGTACTAGTAGTAGTACTAGTAGTAGTATAGTAGTAGTAAATAGTAGTACTAGTAGAAGTAGTAGTAGTATAGTATAGTAGTAGTAGTACTAGTAGAAGTCAGTAGTAGTAATACTAGTAGTAGTAGTAGTAGTAGTATAGTAGTAGTACTAGTAGTAGTACTAGTAGTAGTACTAGTACTAGTAGTGTAGTAGTTAAATAGTAGTGTAGTAGTATAGTAGTAGTATTAGTAGTAGTATAGTAGTAGTACTAGTAGTAGTACTAGTAGTAGTATAGTGTAGTGTAGTAGTACTAGTAGTAGTACTAGTAGTAGTACTAGTTAGTTAGTACTAGTACTTAGTAGTAAATATAGTGTAGTACTAGTAGTAGTACTAGTAGTAGTTAGTAGTTAGTACTAGTAGTATGCTAGTAGTAGTAGTAGTAGTAGTTCTAGTAGTAGTATAGTAGTTTGTATAGTAGTAGTACTAGTAGTAGTAGTACTAGTAGTAGTATGTAGATAGTAGTAGTAGTAGTAGTAGTGTATAGTAGTGTATCTAGTAGTAGTAGTATTAGTACTAGTAGTAGTAGTAGTACTAGTAGTAGTATAGTAGTAGTACTAGTAGTAGTTAGTAGTACTACTAGTAGTAGTGAAGTGTAGTACTAGTAGTACTGTATGTAGTAGTTAGTAGATAGTAGTAGTACTAGTTAGTAGTAGTAGTACTAGTAGTAGTAGTAGTAGTAGTAGTACTAGTAGTAGTATAGTAGTAGTACTAGTAGTAGTTAGTAGTAGTACTAGTAGTAGTACTAGTAGTACTAGTAGTATAGTAGTAGTACTAGTAGTAGTTAGTAGTAGTACTAGTAGTAGTAGTAGTAGTACTAGTTAGTAGTAGTAGTACTGTAGTAGTATAGTAGTAGTACTAGTAGTAGTACTAGTAGTAGTACTAGTTTGTACTAGTAGTACTAGTAGTAGTAGTAGTAGTACTAGTAGTAGTAGTAGTAGTACTGTAGTGTAGTAGTAGTAAGTAGTAGTAGTAGTAGTTGTAGTTAGTAGTAACTAGTAGTAGTACTAGTAGTAGTACTAGTAGTAGTACTAGTAGTAGTAGTAGTTTGTAGTTTCTAGTAGTACTAGTAGTACTATAGTAGTAGTAGTAGTAGTACTAGTTGTTTGTACTAGTAGTAGTAGTAGTAGTAGTAGTATAGTAGTAGACTAGTAGTAGGGACTAGTAGTAGTACTAGTAGTAGTATAGTAGTACTAGTAGTATAGTAGTAGTAGTAGTAGTACTAGTAGTAGGTTGTAGTAGTACTAGTAGTAGTAGTAGTAGTACTAGTAGTAGTAGTGAGTAAATAGTAGTAGTATAGTAGTAGTACTAGCAGTAGTATAGTAGTAGTACTAGTAGTAGTACTAGTAGTAATAGGGAGTAGTAGTAGTAGTAGTACTAGTAGTAGTAGTAGTATTAGTATAGTAGTAGTAGTAGTAGTACTGTAGTAGTACTAGAAGTAGTAGTAGTAGTACTAGTAGTAGTACTAGTAGTAGTACTAGTAGTAGTACTAGTAGTACTGTAGTAGTAGTAACGTATGTAGTAGTAACTTAGTAGTAGTAGTTAGTACTAGTAGTAGTATAGTAGTAGTACTAGTAGTACTAGTAGTAGTAGTAGTAGTAGTACTAGTAGTAGTAAATAGTAGTAGTCTAGTAGTAGTGTAGTAGTACTTTGTAGTAGTATGTAGAGTACTATAGTAGTACTAGTAGTAGTAGTAGTACTAGTAGTAGTACTAAGTAGTAGTATAGTAGTAGTACTAGTAGTAGTACTAGTAGTAGTAGTAGTAGTAGTACTAGTAGTAGTACTAGTAGTAGTACTAGTAGTAGTACTAGTAGTAGTAGTAGTAGTACTAGTAGTAGTACTAGTAGTAGTACTAGTAGTGTACTAGTAGTAGTACTAGTGTAGTATAGTATACGTAGTTTGTAATAGTATAGTAGTAGTAGTAGTAGTATAGTAGTAGTACTAGTAGTAGTACTAGTAGTAGCTAGTAGTAGTAGTAGTAGTAGTAGTACTAGTAGTAGTAGTAGTAGTAGTAAGTAGTAGTAGTGGAAGTTAGTAGTACTTGTAGTAGTAGTAGTAGTGTAACTAGTAGTAGTAAGTAGTAGTACTAGTAGTAGTAGTAGTAGTAGTAGTACTATAGTAGTACTAGTCGTAGTAGTAGTAGTAGTACTAGTAGTAGTGGACAGTAGTAGTACTAGTAGTATAGTAGTAGTAGTAGTAGTATAGTTTGTATTAGTAGTAGTAGTATTAGTATAGTAGTAGTAGTGGAAGTAGTAGTGTAGTAGTAGTAGTACTAGTAGTAGTAGTAGTAGTGGAAGTATAGTAGTAGTGTAGTAGTATCGTAAGTAGTAGTGGGATAGTATAGTAGTATGTTAGTTAGTACTAGTAGTAGTAGTAGTAGTAGTAGTAGTAGTACTAGTAGTAGTAGTTAGTAGTAGTAGTAGTAGTGTAGTAGTGGAAGTAGTAGTACTAGGTAGTAGTTGTAGTAGTAGTAGTTGTAGTAGTAGTAGTAGTACTAGTAGTAGTAAGTAGTAGTGGAGTAGTAGTAGTAGTAGTACTAGTAGTAGTAGTAGTAGTGGAAGTAGTAGTAGTAGTAGTATTAGTAGTAGTACTAGTAGTAGTGGAGTAGTAGTAGTAGTAGTAGTAGTAGTAGTAGTGGAAGTAGTAGTACTAGTAGTAGTAGTAGTAGTAGTAGTAGTAGTAGTAGTAGTAGTAGTAGTAGTAGTGGAAGTAGTAGTACTAGTAGTAGTAGTAGTAGTAGTAGTAGTTGTAGTAGTTGTTTTGCATGTCTGTCAGGTTGGTTGTAGCTTAGCTAGGGTAGCATGGAAGGTCAACGGGGAAGCGGGGGGGGGGGGGGTACATTGACTCAGAGAATGTATGCTACACAGCAGGAGAGAATAACGAGGTAGGTGGAGCCAGTCACACGGGAAGCTGTTGACTGCTAGATCGTCGGTCGATGCCTGACCCTTGATGGGAACTTTAGCAACTTGGCATCAATAGTAACTCACTCTAGTGGAAAGTCTTTACAAATAAAACATGTAGGTTTACTGTCTACGTAGTAGTGGTGGTGGTAGTAGTTGTGGTGGTAGTGGTTGTAGAGGTAGTAGTAATGGTAGTAGTGGTATGGTAGTAGTAGTGGTGGTAGTAGTGATAGTAGTAGTGTTAGTAGTGGTGGTAGTAGTAGGGGTAGTAGTATAGTAGTAGTAGTAATAATAGTAGTAGTTAGTAGCAGTAGTAGTAGTAGTAGTAGCAGTAGTAGTAGTAGTAGTAGTAGTAGCAGTAGTAGTAGTAGTAGTAGTAGTAGTAGTAGTAGTAGTAGTAGTGGCAGTAGCAGTGGTAGGTGTGGTGGTAGTAGTTGTAGTAGAAGTGGTGGTAGTAGTGGTGTTAGATTGGTAATAATGGCGGTGGTAATAATGGCGGTAGTAGTGGTGGCAGAGGTGATAGTGGTGGTAGTGGTGGTAGTAGTGTTAGTGGTGGTAGTTGTGGTAGTGGTGGTAGTAGTGGTACTTCTACTGAAAAATCGAACTCACCAGTGTTATGTGTAAAATTTTGGCTGTATCATAATCTGTATGTGCCTTTGTACGTAACTCTGTACGTAACTTTGTACGTAACTCTGTACGTAACTCTGTACGTAACTTTGTAAACATAGCGTTGTTAGCATAACTTTACTTACAGGTTGCTAACACATGTTATTGTAATTATTGCAGATACTGTGAAGACGCTGAGGCAACCACTACTACCACCACTACCACAAGTACCAGCACTGCGAGGCCCACCAGCACCCCAGCTAGTACTACCACCAGTACCACCGCTGGCACTACCACCACCCCTGGCACTACCACCATCGCTGGCACTACCACTATCCCTAGCTCTACCACCACAGCTGGCTCTACCACCATCCCTGGCACTACCACTATCTCTGGCACCACCACTACTAACCACCACATCATACCGTCAAAAAGTACATAGCACGAATCTCTTAACCGGGTGCCACACTACCGTGGCACTCTCATATATTGAACGAAGGGGAGGAGCAAACTACAGTAAATCAGAGAGGAAAAACAATGAATAAAAATGAACTTCAAAAGGATTAGATACCAATAAAACAGAAAATACAGAATTCAGAAAGAAGGATCGGGAAGAGATTTAGATCAAAGCATTAGAATCTAATAGCCTTTCAAAACTTAAAGCAGAGAGATTAGGATGATGTTTGGGTGTGATTAGAAGAGGGGAAGGAAGAGGAGGAGGAGGAAGAGGAGGAGGAGGAAGAGGAAAGAAGAGGTAGGAAGAGGGTAGCGAGAGGTCGCTGAAGGTATGTTAGAGGAAGCAGCAAGGAGAACATGGTGTGTGTGGTGGGGGCCATGACATGGTGGTGGGGGCCATAACATGGTGGTGGGGGCCATAATATAGTGGTGGGGGCCATAACATGGTGGTGGAGGCCATAATATGAAAGTCCGCGGGTGGACGTGGGCCACCTCATGGGCGGTAGTGGCCCTGTGGGCGTCCGTGACCCTCCTGGTGGCCCTGGCCTCCCTGGCAGCACTCTTCACACCCACCTGGTTCGTGAAGCACGCGCCCTCCCCACCCGTCATGTTCGGAGTGTGGGCGTGGTGTGTGGGCGGTGTGGGCGAGCAGCGGTGTGCTGCGGTGGGTCAGGGGCTGGCTGAACAGGACGGGGCTCTGCCCTCAGCGGTGTGGGTGATGGTGGGGGCGGTGTATGGCGGGGGCGGCGCCCTCCTGGCGGTGACGGGCCTGGCCGCCCTCCTGACGCCCATCCTGCCCACCACCCACGCCCGCGCCGCCCTCGCCCACGTGGCTGGCAACATACAAGCAGCGGCAGGTAAATACTACCCTCGTCTCTATTATATCTTATTAAGTGTATTTATCGTCTAATATTTTGTGTGTTTTATAAAGTACTGTACACTATATCCCTCTTTCCCACTACACAAAAACTCAACACCTGGGAGTATAAGCGATACAACTCAACCCCGGGGTGGAGGGGGTTATAAAAGGGGGGAGTATCAGTACACACACACACACACACACACAGGAAGAGAGAGACGATCAGTACACCAGAAACGGCCAGACTCAGCACTCACCCCAGCAACCACACACACGAAAGCACACACACACACCCCACAACACACACAACACCACACACACACACCACACACACACACACCACACACACAACACACACACACACACACACACAACACACACACCACACACACCCCACACACAGTCTGGAACCCACACCTGGTCAAGCACGTCAAGAAGTTAGAGAAAGTACAAAGGTTTGCAACGAGGCTAGTCCAGAGCTCAGGGGAATGTCGTACGAGGAAAGGTTGAGGAAAATCGGACTGACGACACTGGAGGACAGAAGGGTCAGGGAGACATGATAACGACATACAAGATACTGCGGGGAATAGATAAGTGGACAAAGATAGGATGTTCCAGAGAGGGGACACAGGGAACAAGGGGTCACAACTGGAAGCTGAAGACTCAGACGAGTCACAGGGACGTTAGGAAGTATTTCTTCAGTCATAGAGTCGTCAGGAAGTGGAATAGCCTAGCAAGTGAAGTAGTGGAGGCAGGAACCATACATAGTTTTAAGAAGAGGCTATGATAAAGCTCAGGAAGCAGAGAGAGAGAAAGGACCTAGTAGCTATCAGTGAAGAGGCGGGGCCAGGAGCTGAGTCTCGACCCCTGCAACCACAATTAGGTGAGTACAAACACACACACACACACACACACACACCACACACATGCACACATACAGACACACGGGGCGAGGAGCTGTAAGTCTACATATAGATGAGGTTGAGAGAGAATGAGAGAGAAAGAGAAAGAGTGCCACTAGTGGTTGCAGTGCCTGGCAGTTCCTCTTGATTGATCCTTCTATCTGGGTTACTCTCTCACATATAAACACACTGTGGTATCTTCTGTTAAGTTACCGACCTTCTTCTTATCTCTCATTTCCTGTGAGTTTTCTTCCCTTCCAACTGTTGTTGTTGTTGTTTCTAGGTCGTCAGGAACACTCACCTGACCCGAGGTCACACCTGCCATACACCATTTTTCTAAAATTATCTGTAATGATGTCGCTGTGAAATAATTCCTTTAATTTTGACCTTAACAACGCTCAACATAAAATTAATACATATGTTTAAAGTCTTTATCTTCCATCACTGCTGTGGGCCATCACGTTGATTGACCTGACCTTGCAATATTCATGACCTAGACTCCGGGGTCATCCCGCGGTTATTGACAACTACTAACATTGCCACACTCCACAAAGGTGTCAATACAGCAGTTGCAACAACAGTACTGTAGATCGATAGCCTTAACGCCCTGTATTAAGATTATTTCAAAGGGTTTTTAAGAAGCAAGACTACCAGTCACATGGACTCGTAGGAGCTGCACAACACAGGTCAAAATAAGGTCAGAATAGGTCTCTCCTGCCTTTCGCAATTGCTGGGACATTACGACACGGTCGTAAATGCAATTGAAGATAAGTAAAATGAACATGCAAAATAAACTGACTTTGGGGCGCAAAATGCGTGCAGAATAACTGTATTAATAACTGTAAAGGTGAGGAAATGAATAGTTAGCTTCCTAACAAATAGAACCCGAAGATTAAGTGCAAACAGAGTGAAATCAGAGGCTTCAGTGTCACCTGGCAGTGTAGTAGGTTGTGACTGTGTATGTGTGTGTGTGTGTGTGTGTGTGTGTGTGTGTGTGTGTGTGTGTGTGTGTGTGTGTGTGTGTGTGTGTGTGTGTGTATGTGTGTGTGTGTGAGTCTGTCTATCTATCTATCTGTCTGTCTGTCTGTTTATTTATCTATTTGCATGAATATAGACAGGCAGGCATCGTCACTAAGTTAACTCAACGTTTACCTCATTAAACTTGCGCAAGACAATGTTTTATCCTGGTAAACAACTCACTCAGAACCACACGATGGCACAGTGGAACAAGCACCCCCCCCCCCTCCTCGTGGACCCCCGCCTCACGTCTCTCAAAAAACATCCCAACGGGAGATAACAGAAAACAGAAATATCCTCCCAATACACAAATAACCAGCACATAGGAGAGAGGACCTTAAGACGACGTTTCGGTCCGACCTGAACCATTTACGAAGTGGAACTGTACGATATTATGCCTTAGTTGTTGTTTATGTCTGTCCACATTCACGACACTGCATCACCTCCCGGCGAGGCCATGATTGCCAAGAACGGCTAAAAATTAAAGGAGAAAGGAAAGGAGATACCAGTTGAGTGGGCAGAGTGAGGCAATCTGCTGCAGAAATGGACGTGAGTTAGCTGGCTGTCTGCTGCTTTGTGATGAGTCGGCGACGAGTGAAGTCTTGCGTGATCGGTGAGTTCTCTCGGGAGATTTCCGTCTTTCTGGAGATGTTTTGGGACTGTCAGAGGAAACGAGGAGGGAGAGAGGGAGTGAGGGAGGGAGTGAGGGAGGGAGGGAGGGAGGGAGGGAATGACGGAGTGAGGGAGGGAGGGAGAGAGGGAGGGAGAGGAAAATCCCTTAGGAAGTAGAGTCCGCTGACCGTTGTGCTTTAAGTTGATGAGATACAAAGATGCGTGACTCTCCTACACGAGGCACTGACTCTCCTCCACCAGTGTTTGTACGTCACTGACTCTCCTCCACCAGTGTTTGTACGTCACTGACTCTCCTCCACCAGTGTTTGTACGTCACTGACTCTCCTCCACCAGTGTTTGTACGGCACTGACTCTCCTCCACCAGTGTTTGTACGTCACTGACTCTCCTCCACCAGTGTTTGTACGTCACTGACTCTCCTCCACCAGTGTTTGTACGTCACTGACTCTCCTCCACCAGTGTTTGTACGTCACTGACTCTCCTCCACCAGTGTTTGTACGTCACTGACTCTCCTCCACCAGTGTTTGTACGTCACTGACTCTCCTCCACCAGTGTTTGTACGTCACTGACTCTCCTCCACAAGTGTTTGTACGTCACTGACTCTCCTCCACCAGTGTTTGTACGTCACTGACTCTCCTCCACCAGTGTCTGTACGTCACTGACTCTCCCCCACCAGTGTCTGTACGTCACTGACTCTCCTCCACCAGTGTTTGTACGTCACTGACTCTCCTCCACCAGTGTTTGTACGTCACTGACTCTCCTCCACCAGTGTTTGTACGTCACTGACTCTCCTCCACCAGTGTTTGTACGTCACTGACTCTCCTCCACCAGTGTTTGTACGTCACTGACTCTCCTCCACCATTGTTTGTATGTCACTGACTCTCCTCTACCAGTGTTTGTACGTCACTGACTCTCCTCCACCAGTGTTTGTACGTCACTGACTCTCCTCCACCAGTGTTTGTACGTCACTGACTCTCCTCCACTAGTGTCTGTACGTCACTTACTCTCCTCCACCAGTGTCTGTACGTCACTGACTCTCCTCCACCAGTGTCTGTACGTCACTGACTCTCCTCCACCAGTGTCTGTACGTCACTGACTCCTACTCCTCACTCCACCAGTGTCTGTACGTCACTGACTCTCCTCCACCAGTGTCTGTACGTCACTGACTCTCCTCCACCAGTGTCTGTACGTCACTGACTCTCCTCCACCAGTGTCTGTACGTCACTGACTCTCCTCTCCTCCACCAGTGTCTGTACGTCACTGACTCTCCTCCACCAGTGTCTGTACGTCACTTACTCTCCTCCACCAGTGTCTGTACTCACTGACTCTCCTCCACCAGTACTGTACGTCACTGACTCTCCTCCACCAGTGTCTGTACGTCACTGACTCTCCTCCACCAGTGTCTGTACGTCACTGACTCTCCTCTCCTCCACCAGTGTCTGTACGTCACTGACTCTCCTCCACCAGTGTCTGTACGTCACTGACTCTCCTCCACCAGTGTCTGTACGTCACTGACTCTCCTCCACCAGTGTCTGTACGTCACTGACTTCTAAATACCCGGACTAGCCAATCAGAGAGTGTTGTACTTAGTTCCAGGTTGTCTAGTGTTGATAAACCAACAATAAATTTGCTCCAAGGTAACCTTTCATTAACAATAATTTATATAAATTATCAAATAAACTTTTTCCTTCTTTTTGGGGGGAATAAAAGAACCAAGAAATAAAATATTTAAATCCTTAATTTCAATCCCTTTGAAAAGGATTAATCAAGTTCTTTAAATATATAAGTTTTGCATCAAGGACAGAATTATAATTTAAATAAACATTATCGAACTGAGACAAAACCAGATTTAAATAATCGTATATTCAAGAGAACCTCTTAAGTTCTTCTAAATAATAACCCAGACTAATTATCTTTTAAAGGAGATTGAATATTGTCTCGTGAGAGAGACTTAAGTATAAATTCTCCCGTTCTTAAAGCACTAAGGAGTCTCTTGGTGACCTAGAACACAAGAAACTGTGTTCGAGGCTGAGGTGGTGATTTATTATAATCAAGGGGGAAGCGCTAAACCCGGAGGATTATACAGCGCCTGGGGGGGGGATGTGGAAGGCATTCAGGCTTAATTCGGGGAACTGGAGCACAGATCCAATTCCCTAAATCAAGAGCCCCTCACCAACATCAAGGAAACCTTCCTTGAGGGGCTGAGGTGGTGAACCTGTCTTGCCACAGTGACGGTAAACACCACATAAGGTCGGTCAGGTGACCTAAGCTGGCAGTAAAACTAGAGTCCGACAATTAACCTTGTGTTTCAGAACAGTTGCACAATTATTGGTAGACATGGGTTTCCCTTTATACCTAACAATATATAATAATTACATTGACAATAATAATCGAGAACAATTTTCTCATCCAAGTGACATCAGATAATAATATATATCCGAAAATCTT